CAAATAAAAACAGCATTAACGCGACACTAATTAAATAATTCATGGCACTATTTCTATAGTTTTGCCCCAATCGGCGACATTTAACTTACGGTACATATCGGCATATTCTATTATTAAACACATTTCTTAAAATCTCAAACTAGTCCATACTGTTAAGTTGTATCAATATATCAAGATAAACTTATTTTAACGGCATTGTTAGACCAATACATATAAAATAGTGTTTGTGTGCGTGTATGTGTCTGTCTGTCTGTCTGTCTGCCTGTATGTATGTATGAAAGAGAGGTGAGACAATCAAAATATTTCCGATATAGAACTGTAACATAACCTACATAACAATATCACTACATGTACTTTCCTATCATCTTATAGCATCAACAGTACGAATTTAATATTTCTTCGAAAGAAAATTTACCATGATTTGATGCAGCATAAGTTGGCAATTCAAACACAGTATTGTAAAATAAATAAGTTACTAATATTAATTAATTTAATCTGAATAGGCACGATGCATACAATTAGTTTAGACCATTAAAACAGCCATTGTGTAAATCTTCATAACTAATAAAGAGTACGTGATATAATTATCAGTCTGGTAATTACCTCATGGGATAATCGTAGACTTATTTGATCATACGTATCTTCAACGTCTATCAACGTCTATCATTTTCCATAATATCATATCATCACATATTCAAGGAAAGAAAAGGTGAAATAAAATGTGCATAAAAACTAAAACAATCAGCATTCAGTGTACTGTAATCATCGATACTGGCCTTCAACCAAATAAAGTAACTGCAAAGCACACTTTGTTGGGTCTGGACTCAGAAACAGAGAGAAATGCACATAAATGACTCGTATTGTTTCTAACCATGCAATGGAGCTTAATTCTAATAATTCAATTCTGAGAGTAGATATTTTTAAAAACATGTTTAACCCATAATTCGCTAAGTATCTCCAATTGATGTGTCTATTTTTCAATCTGGTCAAACCCATTGTTCCTATTAAGGGAATTTTTTAGAATATGTACTAACAAACAGTGCAGATCATAATCACACGGCACAGATGTAGCTCTACAGTTGGTCGCATTCATACGTGAAATCTGCTGCCACCAACACGCAGAACGTTTCAAATAGAAAAAGACATCGGTTATAGCACACTAAACATGTTTCTTTTTATTGTTTTGTAATCATATACACTTTCATTTCATAATTTCAAATCATGTACGTCTGTTTAAAAGTATGATTTGAAGGTCATTTGACGACTATAAGTAGTCATTTTTTATAGTTTTTGATGGAAATTGAATGACACTAACATAATAAAATTCCATATAATTAAGGAACAGCAAATGCGAAACAGAAATGTTTTGACTAAAAACAATTATCACCAGCAATGTTAGAAAGGCACACTTTGGACATTTGTTTTAGGAGAATATGCCAAAGTTTGCATGTTATTTCTTTGATGGGTATGTTTTAATAGCTCATTACCGAATTCTAAAGTTTTGTTTTGCTAATTGTACGTACGTGTGCTATTCAATAATAATATAATATGTATTTCACCTCATATAAAACGTACCAGCCAGTAGTGAATGTATAATATATTAAAGTAGTGGTCCAACATTTTACCTGTTACGTTATGTACCTACAACTTAAAATGCTCAAAACACTGGATCAGTTCCAGCTTACCTAAATGGCAAACACGTTTCTTATATAAAAAATGTAAAAATCAGGTGCAGAAAATAGTTTTATAGTAAATCTGCCGATTTTTGAAATCTTACACAATAAAACATTTGACATTTTCTTCCAAATTGTGAAATAGATTCTTTACAAAAAAACATTAAAGTAATCATAATGAACATTCTTAAATAAAAAAGATCAAAAATCTTCTTATAAACACACAAAATAGAACAAGTAGAAGAGAACTATACTGAATAATAAATTATAAATAGTAAATTATGTGGCATCTTTTATGCCCGTTGCCATTGCCAGATTGGATATAATTCGTATTTTTATTTTTTTCAGTATGAAGAGACAACGGACCTACAATACGTATAGTCGGCAATGTTTCTTAAAGTTTGATCGCTGTATCACACAGTTAAATAAAATATAAATTTCTTAGTCCTTAGAAAGAATATTCGATTTATCCGCTAGAGGATTAAATCTTTTATTCAAATCTTACAACTTAACATTTTTTATTATAACACCCCAGTAGGGCCTCAAAAAGAGTTGTCAGGGGAGACAACTTACACTTGAATATGTCATATATAAGGCAGAGCAAATTCTGGGAACGGTCTTTCAATCGTGGCTCACCATAGAAGAGGTAGACTAGTTTATCTTCGTTTAAAAAATCTAAAATTTACATTTCAAATCTTGAATATCAACGAATATTATTTAGAATCGCACAGGAGATTATAATACATTTTATATTTCTGCTCATTATTATTTGTTTTAATATTTGGGGTTTATTAGATAAGAACTTTGACCAGATCTAATAACCACGTGGTGATGACCAGCTGTTGTTCTCTTCAAGGACAGTTGTCTAAAAAAAAATCAATTTTGGATGCCTTGATTACACTAAATATATGTCAAAGTCAATCGGTTTCTTTGAAATAATTAGTAAATAAATAAAAAATTGGATTTAAATCTAGATCTTGAGTTTAAAACCTATAGATTCTATATTTATATGATGTTTCAGCACGTGATCTATACTTAAAATCTAGAGCATTATCTTATGAATGAATAAATGAGCATAGCTATAAAACGGTTAAAAATACAATATTGATTATATGGCTCGATTATGACAGGTCATGTTTTCCAACGGGAAAATGATCAGTCTCATTGAAATCCACGCGCGTGACATCATTCATACCTATGACGTCATTTCATCGAGGCTAAGAAAATAAAGATAAGAGTAATTAGAATCTAAATATATAAAGTAGGAAATAAAAAGAAAAATTGATAATAATAATAATAATTTTATTTTATTTATTTATGTATATTATTTTATTTTTCGACAATGTTAAAACATCGACAACAACGTGGCCATACACGAGACTCGCTCCAACAGCAAGTCAATAAGAGGAGGAACATTCGGACGTCTGTTTCTACAGCCATGCCTCCAGCTGACAGACCTGTAAGGGAGCCCTATGAAGAAAACGAAATGGATGGCCAATCCGGACCTCCGGTAGATGTTGATCTTCATCACCAAGAGACAAATAAAGGTGAAGTTAAAAAATATCATGATAAATACTTGTTCCAGTACAATGCTAGGCGCACGTGTATCTGTCAGTACTAAATATAAAATATGGAACAATCGATTTGTAGAGTTTAGTTACACACTTTGTTGCCAAAGAAAAATATGTTAGAAAATATAAAATAAACAAAAGATTCAACTTGTTGACGGGGAACTTATAATGAGTACCCAAGAGCAAATTCCGAAACAAATAAAAAAAAATAATAGAAATTTGGTCAGATGCATTCGTGGTATACATGCGTATTTTCATTATGAAACATCCAGAATAAGTCAATAACCTATTACAATATTTTGCAAACATTCGTTTAGCGGCATCAACTTGATCAAGAAATGTCGGATGGTTCGAGTATGATAGGTAATTTAGGCTTAAAAAATTAATCGATTTGGGTATAAAGTGGCAAAATATTGACTCAGAATTGTGGATGATATATGCAGACTATACAGTCCTTGAACCAGCCGGCACTTCTGAATATTCAAAAAAAATGTTACGACTTTAATAACAAAGGCTTTTGTACAAATAGATCATGTACTTACAAACACGTTTGCATCAAATGCTTTGGTAACCACCCTTCAATACACTGTTATGCAAATAAACAAACAGCGCAATTCACACCGCGTTATGTATTTATATTGCCAGCTCAAAGAGTGCCTATGGGACCTGGGGTTTTCACCAATTAATATCTAGTTTCTCGCTGATAAACTCTTTCAATGCCCAAATAAGGATGATGCCAATTACATTTTACAAGGATTCAGCACTGGTTTTAAACTCGAATATACGGGACCAAGAATCCCTATTTTTTTCCCCCAAAAATCTCAAATCGGCAATTGATCAAAAATGCTTATTAAGTAAAAAGCTTCACGACGAATTTATACTTGGGTGAATCCTAGGACCGTTCAAAAAAAGGCCAATTACTAATCTGAGAATAAATCCCGTAGGTCTCGTACCAAAACAAAACGGTGCTTTCAGCTTTCATACTCACCAGGCAAAGTATAAATGAATTTATCGATCCTGAATTTTGCCATGTTCAATATTCACAATTCGAAAATGCAGTAAGAATAGTTCAAGAAATAGGGGGTTCTGCTTTTATGGCAAAAGCTGACATTTCTTCTGCATTTAATTTATGCCCTATATGGCCAGGTGATTTTGATTTATTAGGTATAAAAACCGAGGAGGGATATTGAATTCAAAAAATGCTGCCACAAGGTGCATCATGTTCATGATTTATTTTTGAAAATTTTTCAAAGTTTTTTACAATGACTTGTGTCTAAAGAATCAAAATCATACTACATTGACCACCTACAGTACTAGATGATTTTTATGGCAGAAAAATCTTTTGAAAAATCATAAATGCTTGAATTTAATGCAAACATTTGATAAAATTTGCAATGAACTTGGTGTCCCCCTAAGTTTCGAAAAATGGATGGGACCTGTTATAACTATAACATACCTGGGTCTTGAAATTGATTCAATCAACCAAATGGTTAAGGTGCCTTTAGAAAAAATAAGGAAAGCGAAAACAGTCTCGTTTGGGTGAGAAAACTTAATAAGATTAGACTCAAACACTTACTTGTAATCAGTCGTTGGTCTATTTAATTTTATATCGAAAGCTATTCCCAGTGGCCGTGCCTTTAAAAGACGTTTTTTATGGCGCCATGTCGTATGTAAAGAAACCGTTCCATTTTATTAGTCAACCAATGCATGAAAGAAGATGCACATATTTGGCTAACATTTTTTTGAAAACAACAACAACAAAAAAAAAAAAAACAAAAAACAATGGTTATGTTATGTTTACAGAAAAAAATTGGGTAGATAAGTAAGATAACTGCCATTTAGAACTATATATAACGGAATATATTGCATACATGTCTTTACGTCAATACTCATTTTCAACAGTAGGTGTTCACGTTTCAACAATAAGTTATTTTAATAAAATAAACAATTTGGTTGACAATACAAAACAATTCATAGTCAATAGTATGCTAGAAGGGTTCCGTAGATTATCGAAAAGGCATGACACAAGACACCCGATAACACAAAATGTACTGATACAGCTTTTATCAGCCCTACCTAACGCTTGCAGATCACAATATGAGTGTTTAATGTTTTCTGATGCTTTCTGTCTTGCCTACATAGGTCTGTTAAGAATAAGCGAATTTGCATTGCCTTCAAAGAAATCAAAAAAGGTAGTTTTAAATGTAGATGATGTAACGATCAATCAAAATCTCATTAGACTGTATTTTAGATGTCCAAAAACGACCAGAGATATGTCGGATGTTCTATTGATATTCCGATAACTGACCAAACTCTGTTATGAAAAACTGAAAGAGTTCTTACATTTTAGAAGTAACGTGCAAGGGCCGTTATTCTGCCATTTCGATGGAAGTCCCTTAACATCCTTTCAATTCAATTCAGTATTAAAAAGAACTTTGAACTTGATAGGTCAAAAAAAAATTAAAGCACACTCTTTTCGAATCGGCGGGGCTTCTAATATGTTCCGTGAGGTTTGTGCTATCAATGATATAAAATACAGAGTCCGTTGGCGATCTTACGCTTATAAATCCTACATCCGATAATTTTATAGTATTTCGTGGAAAAAACTTATTTTTTTAGGATCTGCCAAAATGGCTGTAATGTGAATGCCGGCGATCCGAAATTTGGCTATTTAAATAAAGTACGTATTTGTATTAAGAAACCGTTACCGGGTCTTAATACACATTAATGTATTAAGAAGAGCAATTTATGCTGTTGTAATAAAAAGATGTTATATATATTGGCATTATGTGCCTGGCATTATGTGCCTGATATTGTTTTTTGAATGTGTTAATGTATAACAAGCAGTTGGCATTATGTGCCTGACATGTGTCTTTTATAATTTATAACACCCAGTTGGCATTATGTGCCTGACATTATGTGTCTTTTATAATTATAACACCCAGTTGGCATTATGTGCCTAACACTATGTGTCTTTAATAATTTATAAAACCCAGTTGGCATTATGTGCCTGATATAATGTGTCTTTTATAATTTATAACACCTAGTTGGCATTATGTGCCTGACATGTGTTTTGATAACATTACTTGATAATTATAAATATTAAATGGATAGGTAATATATAATTAAACTTATTTCAGCCTGTAAAATGTCGGATGTTTGGATTATAGGCTCTTCATTTATAAGGGATGCCTTTCAAACAGCATGCCGCAGAAGTGAGGACTTAAATTTCTAGGTTATAATGTTATATGGGAATATCAGGGGGACATGAAAGTTTCTGATTTAAAACCTTCGATAGAATACTTGCTTGAGTTTAAAAATGCGCAAAATGTTTTGATATTACACTGTGGCGGGAACGATTTAGGAAATCGACCTTCAGTTGAAATCATGGGACATCAAAAACTTTATAACAAGGACTTCACTGGAAAAAATACCTGTTACTACAGATATTACCAAGAAGGTCATGGAGATATGTCCAATGTAACAAAACTGCAAATAAAACCCGCATGCGTATAAATAGTTGTATCAGTACATTTGTTATTAAACTCGGGGGTTATTATATTCGTTACCCTGATTGACCTTTTCGAGGACCTAGCTGGGCGCCGTTTTCCGGTACGTTGCCGTTTTAGCTCTGGGGAATTACACCAAATGAAGTACATAACACAGTTACGAGATATTTCTATTTTTCTATCATTATTTAACCGTTTAAGGTGAAAAAAATTGATGTTTTTAAAAATTATCAATATTCGTTTAATATCTATTGCAAATTATTAAAAAAACAAAACAAATTGTTTATAATGAAAATCAATAAAATTCAAACAGACGTAGTGGAATCTTCCATAATAAATAAGGTTATTTTCTGCGTAAACTTGTGTATTTACTTTATTTTTTTGTATGGAATTATTCATACAATGATATTTAATTATTTTCTTATAAAGAAATAACTGTTTTATTTCAATTTAATTTAAAAAAAAGGCCGAAAACATTGAGTTCGCTATTACACTTCATTGGGTGAATTCCCCGGGGCTGTGTGCGGAGAGTGCCGGGGCGGCGTTTGGCTGGGTTTTCGAATTCTTATATTAAGGAAAACCCTAGGTTGTATAGGCCGGATGGCACACATCTGTCGGACTTTGGTAACCACGTTTTATTGAATACAATATCGGGCGCTCTCAACACATTCACGTCCATGGCTGGGTAGGGCAAAATTGTAGCTGTGGTAGCCCGCTTTGGCGGAAGCCCACAGGCAAATGTTTCACTTTGCTTGTGGGCTTTTTGGCATGTGCTACCACGTTTTTGCAACCGTTGCCGGGGCAAAAACAGTTATAGTAAAGACATTTAGTAGTCTTAAATCGAAACACATAGACATTTCAATAGGTTAAATAATTAAAATGCTTTTATCCAGCCATGGCCATTTTCATGCCAACACGTTTTTGTTAATAAATACCAGTACGTTTTTTAGACTGATTTCTCTTTTCTTTTATTCCCAAGTTGTAATGTTTGAATAATATTCGATTTATCCGCTAGAGGATTAAATCTTTTATTCAAATCTTACAACTTAACATTTTTTATTATAACACCCCAGTAGGGCCTCAAAAAGAGTTGTCAGGGGAGACAACTTACACTTGAATATGTCATATATAAGGCAGAGCAAATTCTGGGAACGGTCTGTCAATCGTGGCTCACCATAGAAGAGGTAGACTAGTTTATCTTCGTTTTAAAAAATCTAAAATTTACATTTCAAATCTTGAATCCCACCACAAACCCACCCATTCAATTTCATTGTTTTTCTTTGTTTTTGCTTTTTTCCCTTTATATTTTCAGATAACACTATATTAGCACGTCATGGCTGGAACAGAAAGATATAGAAAAAGGAGAATGCTTATAATTCTCAGCGACCGTTATCGGAGCTGATCAATTTGTAAAACAGACATGTAAAGTGATTTCATCATCTGTACCTGTGTACCTTGAGTTGAAGCATGTGCTACCACGTTTTTGCAACCGTTGCCGGGGCAAAAACAGTTATAGTAAAGACATTTAGTAGTCTTAAATCGAAACACATAGACATTTCAATAGGTTAAATAATTAAAATGCTTTTATCCAGCCATGGCCATTTTCATGCCAACACGTTTTTTGTTAATAAATACCAGTACGTTTTTTAGACTGATTTCTCTTTTCTTTTATTCCCAAGTTGTAATGTTTGAATAAATTATTATAAATTTAAAAAAAAACCCTATAGCAGAGACGATTTTATTACTTGTGTTCATGACGGCAACATTACCCTTACCCTATATCAGGAACTCAAAGGACCGGCAGATATGAATAATTCGTATGCATTATGAGTATACAGTTATATCTATTAATGTTTACACTACCTTACCCGTGGGAAACACTTGAATAAACAATACACCTCATTCCCTCAATTATATACTGCTATACTTATATAATATAACTGATGTATTTTACACAACACCACTGTAATATGTAAACGTCATGTTTGATATCTAATATAACGAAGTATAAACAATAAACTACATTTACGCTACTTGAAATACTCGCTGATGGCAATAATACTAGTCGATATGATTAAACAAATTAGCATGGGAACACTTAATGATATATAATTGTCTATCAATATAATTATCTCTATTCTATGAATGATAATTAAAACAAGTGAATGTCAAGTTAAATACTCAACTGGGTTTTAAAAGAGATGCAAAGGTATATCGGATTATAATTGGATAGCCTAATCGCCTTTGATGCAAGTTAAAATACATGTATTTCTTAATTTTCTTTTTCGTGTCCTATAGATCAACACCTCATACACAAGAGCCGAATGAATCGGGTGATGCTCCCCACACAGAAAATTATAACTTTTTATAGTTTCAGATTTATGTCCCGGACAAAGTTCTCCAAAATAATGCAAGGCAGAGTTGTGGTTCTTTTGCACTGCACATCTGCCCAATGTGATCCATCTACCTACCAAGTGTCTTGTTCATATCTGTTTTACTTTCAGAGCTATGTTCTCGACAATGCAATTAAGCAGTGCAAAGTTACGGTTCTTTCGCACTGCACTTTTAATTTATGAGATAATCTACCTATATAGTTTCTTGTTGAAAGTGAAAAAAATGCTCGAATGGCAGTAACTCCAAAATTAGACAGACAAAGTTGAAACCTAAAATGGGCCAAAAAACTAAGCACTAAAATTTAATAACAATTTCATTTTCGTTCACCGTTTCGATTTATGCTAGATTTAAAATGTTCATGTTTTCGGGCTGGAGGACCTTTGTGGACCTCTTTAAGAGCCTTCACAATAAGAGTGGATCAATGATCAAAGCATTCATTAATTTATAAAATGGAAATCAATCCTTCTTTCCTATTTTCAGTTAATATAAACATAAGCTAGTCCAAAATAAGTTACTTCGTAAGAAAACATTTAATAAATCATAAATTTAAAAATATCTATTAAAATGTTTTATGGTTAAAGATTTTAAAGCAGACAGTTGAAACTTAAAACTAAAAGGTGGCATATCATCCATTTTGTATAAATAATATAGACTGGTCATGTTTGTATTTTGTATTTTGAGATGAATAAAAAGCATACGTTTGTATATTAATAAATAATTAATTAACTTATTTTATTACATTAATCACTATATCTCATATGAAAGCAGACCTGCAACTCAACTGTATAATTTCAAAGAAGAGCAGCAGACATTTAAGTCAACAAAATTAACAGCAGGCAACAGAAAATTGGATTTTGATAACCCATGAATTTTCCAACTTAAGCCTTAGATTGATAATGAAATTAATGGATGTTGACGGAATTGTTGGATTTTTCAAGAAGAATGTTCCTCAGATATCGGATGTTTTAGAAGGGAGATAAACAAAGTTTAAACATATGCCTTTCGATAACACTTTGTCTCCCGTTATTCTGATGTTTCTGTACTGATATTATCTGGAGCAGATTATGATATAGTCACGACATCTCGATATATAACATAATCTGTACCGTTATGATGTCTTTTTATATTTTGCTCTGGATATAGCGTGATTGGAACACAAAATTAAATAAACATATAGTAAGACAAACCAAGAAAAGCTGTTGTTTCTATAAAGAAGCTTAAAATTCCTTGCTGAATACAGGTTGGTTCCAGGAACATATCAACGATTGTGTCTATAAAAATCTTACATACTTACCGGACTTAAAAAATGCTGAACCAACACAACAAAAGAGATCATTGACTGATTATATCACATGATATCTCTTTTTATTTTGTTTGTTTTTTTTCCTGGAAATTACGCCGATTTTATATCGATCCACCTAACCGGCCTTCTATGACATCTTACCAGTCAATACCAATTTTAAGTGACCGACTTCATATTAAGTATTCATATGATATTTGAAACAGTGGTGAGTGACGAATAACCCACACAGACTCATGATCTGAGATCAACTAACACGGATAAAGTTTTCTTCGCAACCAACGTCCCCTAAATTACTTTTCTGATGCACTCCCTAATGAGCTAAGCGAGCAAACATATGTTTAAGTAAGACATTAAACGGTTACACAATTGTTACATATAATTACTGTATAGTCATTCATAAATCTTTTTTATTGAACACAAATATCAAACATGTTCAATTAAAATGGTTTCAAATGCGTTGTTCAATGCTAGCCTGATCCCCCATGTCTCTTAAAATTCATATTGAATTTCTCTGTTCATTTCAAGATTCTAAAATTATAGATGAATTGATTTATCCTTTCTATTTATAATTTTATCTGGCGTAACATGTTTGAAATTAAACAACAAAACAATAAATAATTTTAATAGTAAAACAAAACAAATGAAGCTGACTGATTGTTCAATGCAATGTAACACGGGGAAATGCAATAAATAAGATTTTCTTTTATAAAAGAAGATACTTTACCTTAGATAAATTTAGAAAACATGAAAAAGGATTATTATTGTGTACAACTGGTTACTTAAAACATGATATTAAGAGAAACGGAGACTAGCAAGAAAATCAACCACATTGTCAAGTGGTTTTCATGTAAAATGAAACCATCAGAGTAGTTCTAGAAATGTATCTCCTAAATTCCACAATTAAATCGATTACCTCGCAAGAAACATCCAATGAATTAAACTTTCCTTTTGATTATTTAAAGATAATAGAAACAATTCAGAATAATAAATTGAAACGTTTGATTGAAATGGAGTTAAAAGTATTAATATCTTGTAGGCTGTAAAGGTATGGCAAGAAAAAAACACGTAATCTCCAAAATTCTACATCCCTATAACAAAGGTGTTTGATTAACGTTATGGACAATTTTGATAAAAATATGTTAATGTAAATATTTTGATCACAAATAATGATAAACAAACGAAGCACATGTGAACAAAGGTAAGTCAAGAAAAATGATCGAAATCATTTATATGTAGGTTCATTGCCATTTCAATGATAATTCCCCAGTCTTGTAACCTTTTATACTCATATAACAGCTGTAATGCTGGACAATTAGAGTGATGACTATTGCTTCATTTCTAAATGAGCCAATTAATTAAGCACCGTCATTCCACATCTGTAACAAACGATAACAAGAACTATGGCAAATGATGTCAATAATGAGAAAATGACAAACCAGGCACCCAGTTCTAAATGAATCTGATACAAGTTGTAATTAGTATCACAGATTACAGGAAAGAGTTAGAATTCTTCACATTTGATTATATATTGGAGATATAGTAATACATGTATATTATTATTTGTTAAGCCTTGTGAATCAAATCGAAACTTGAAAATAAAGGTTTCTGACGAAGTTTAGACTAAAGCATTAATATTCAAAGTTTAGTCCAAAGGTACAATTTGTTTGGAAAAAAAATAGACAGACAGGTGTTACTTAGCCCTTATGAAAGAACAAAATCTTCACAAACAACTTGGGTTTGTTTTTTGCTTTGTTTTTGTACTGATAACCGCGTCTTGTTTAATATTTCCAATGACTCTATTTTAATGATTTCCCTGTCTTGTCTAGACTTTGATAATTGATTGCAACATTGAGAGTTGTTATGTTGTCCTAATTGTCTGCTTGTACCTTGTCATCTACGACATAATCGATACTACTGTTGCGTTGTTCTAGAGAAAAATATTAACAAATATTCTAACAACATGGTTTCATATGAATGTAAGTGCGACTTATAAAAACCACACAGACAAATCGGCGCCGCCATTCGTTTTATTGTTACTAATGATAAACTAAAATAAGCCGTTCACACGCCTTCAAAATCAGTACAAAGAAGCACAATAGATGTGCTCAATTAAACTTAGATAAAAACTGAAAAATGATTGAAGGAGATCCCGCCGAAGCAAAAAGCAATAAAAAAAAATTAAAATCGAACACAAAACTTGACACCTGCTCAATCTCAAAAAGAGTATTCTACAGAAGCAATGAAAAAATGCAATGTAGAACCAAAGATAATTCAAGATATGTTTGAATAGTTTTAAGAATACAAACGCTTGATTTCTTTCCTTTGTTCCTGATACAATAATACAAAGAAAGCAAGAATGAAAAAAGAAAGTAATAAAGAAAGAACGGACCATTGATTTGAGTAGAGATTTTGAAAGGAACAAACAATTATCATAGTATTGGAAACTATTCATAAGTCCCCTACCGTTAGAACCCCAGCAACATTCTCAAGGGCAAATTTGTGCTAGAGTTTTAAACCTGGTCATATATGATGTGGTTGATGATCAGAATCATATATTTGAAGTTTGAAGTAAATACCTTAAGAAATAAAGAATTTATGGTGAAAAAGCGTAAACACTTGAATCAGAAATCTTGACAGGTCCCCGACGCTTGGTGAGTAGGACAGCTCTCAATATACTCCCTTTATTAAAAATTAAAATAATGTTTATGATCTCCAGGCTGTCATCTACCCATATTTCAAGTTTGATAAAAATATTTTCAGTACTTTTTGCGTTATTCCTGGATCCAGTTTATGTGTTAAATTAGCCATATTTTCAGTCCATTTGTTGCCATAGCAACAAAAGTTTTCAACATGGGAATAAAAAAAGACGTGCATAATCTCCACACTGCCATCTATCCGTATATCAAGTTTCATAAAGATATTTTCAATACGTTTGCTTCATTGCGGGATCCAGT